ATTTTGTATACTTTTAGAAAACTATGAGGGAGAAATGCCTTGCTTCATATCTTATGTGGAAGAAGTAATGACTGTATTTCTCTCTAAACTCAGGAGGAAGAGTAACTGAAAGTTCAGAACACAGCTTGACACTGGTAAAACACTGGTGGTCTGAGCCTAAAGGGACTCCCTGTGGGGATGGAAGCAGTGCCTCCTCTCCAGCCTGCAGAATCTGAGGACTTGACTGCCCCACCATGGGCAGGATAAGGGAAGCCACTCAGGCAGAAAACTGTAAGCAGGGCAAGTGATACAGACTACATGCTTTGATAGACCATTTTTTTTTGTACTAGGGATCAAGCCCAAGGGCACTTAACCACTGAGCCACATCTCCAGCACGACCCCCTGCCCCCTCTTTTTAGAGACAGGGTCTTGCTTGCTTAGAGACTCACTAATTTGCTGAGGCTTGCTTTGAACTCAAAACCCTCCTGCCTCAGTCTCCTGAACAGCTGGGACTACAGGTGTGAGCCATAGCACCGGCTGATAAGACAACTCTTGTCCTCTCTCTTTATTTTCTAAAAATTAGTCATTATCACTATAAGAATCTTAGCATAATCCAGGTAAAGGGCATCCAGAAATTAAGCTAATGTTAATATATCTCCACAGAAAACTCCATTTCAGATGCATGAGGTAATTAATACATGCATGATGTTCATCCCCAGAGTTTTTGTCTTAGAAAGCAAAAAGAAAAACTACCCTGTTATTGTTGCATGAAGAAGAGGGACAGAATACTAAATGACCATGGAAATGGCCATATCAATGACAAAATCAATTATTTGGGGAAAGAACTTTTCTCACTCATCTATTAAGGTTCAGGAAGCATTTCACCTTGACCGACTCCTCAGAGGAGTAACTCATTCCTTCTGGGGTTCTAAGGAAACACTGCAGGAAACAATGGGGCAGAGCAGCAGGAAAGCAGGCCCTGGTTTTGGCTGCCTCCCACACATTGAAGGCCTTTACATCCACCTTGGCCTGTGACCCTGTCTTCTCATCTGCAATAGTGATAATGATAATAGTTATATTAAGATGTAAGATGTTTCTGAAGAGAAATGGCATGTGGTAAGTGCTTAATAAATGTTACCTGTTATGTAGATTCTGGGCTCTCTTGGCACATATCTATAAGCCAGAACAGAGACCATGTGTGACTGACTCCAGGAGGGACTTGAGGTAGAGATTAGGCACATAGTCATAATGGGATCAATTTAGAAAAAAGATGGAGGTCAATTTGTTAATTGACACTGCTTGGGGGAGTGAAAAGCCAATGGTAAATCATGGTTTTGAACAATGGGATAAAACAACAACAACATTAACGGAGAACAGATTGGGAGGTGTTGAGGGCTGATTTTCCCTACCCCAGTTCCCATGTTGAAGCCTAAACCTTAGCACCTCAGTCTAATAATGTATTTGAAGACTGACCTTTACAAAGGAGATTAACATGGGTCAAATCCAACATGATAAATTATGATAGGATGCCCTGCTTTCTCCAAAAGTCTAGTTGTACAACTATATGAAAGAAATCACTTGGCTTTGTGGTAAATGGGGAAAAAAAAAACAGATATTTGGTCAACAGCTCAATATAAGTCAACAGTGCAGTGTGATTCAATCCTGATAATGAGTGCTTTGGGAATGTAAAATACTTATCACACAGTGTTCTGCATTAGCAAGATATTAAATTTTTTTCATAGGGTATATGAACACTGTTTAGTTATTTAACTGAAACTATCTTAGACAATACAGGGCAGTCATTCTCAAACTCTTTGGTCTTTGGATCCCTTTACAATTTTGACAGTTACTGAGGATTCCTTAAACTGTGTTGATATGAGTTTTTCCTCTCAAAATTTACTGCATTAGAAATGAAAACGGAGAACATAACAAAGAAAAAGGAGATTGCATTTTAATGTGGTTGACAGGATGGCACACAATCAAATCTGCCTGGGGCTTGTGTCTTTATAAGAGGACATTTGGACACACAAAAGACACAAGGAGGCTTTTGCACAGAGGAAGCCCCATATGAGGACACGGCATGCCGATGACCCTCAGGTACTCAGAAGAGGCTTCGGAAGACACCTAACCTGCCACTATAATTGTATACCTGTGGTCTCCATATCTATAGAAAAATTAATTTCTGTTGCTAATTTCACCCAGTCCCTGCATATTTGTAGCAGACAGTCCAACTAACATGAAGGAAAACAGGTATTCCAATGTGGAAATCTAGAATTCTATTGCTGGCAAATTAAGGGTTCTGTACATATTTTGGACAAGAGTATTGCTTGAGGGCATCACACACTAAATCTGCCCAGGAGCCTGCTGTGGGCTGTTCAACACTTCAACTTCCTGACAGTCCTCCCTCTCAACTCTTCCATAACCTCAGTTTGATTGTGTCTAGTGAGGTCTTAGGTGGTATTTTTCTTTTATGACACCTTAATCTTGTTTATGCATTGCTGGCACCAGAGAAGGTCAGAAAAAGAGCCTCAGCTGAGTAACATTTGGACGAATCACCTGCCCTAGTACCAGGACCTGCCAGGTCAGGGACAAGGCTAACTGCCCCCAGGACCTTCTCCACTTCCACAGCCACCTGCATAGGGTGAGCATGTCTGCCTGGCTCTTCTCTCTTTCCTTCCTTTTCCACCTCAACTATCAGCCACTTGTTAAGGACCACTCATCACTTTGTTCCCTTCTCATATAGTATTTGCCTAAATCAAAGACAATCATGACAATAGAGGGACCTGCCATATGAAGCAACTTTACTATGTCTCCCAATAAATTCACAATCCAGGGAGAACTACTCTGCCTTATACATCACCAGCAAATAATTGCCCACTAATAATATATCCCCCCTTCAGAACACATGCATGATTATGCCAGAGGTGGGGGTGGGGGGTATCAGCCTGGTCATCCTGCAAGAGTCATATTATCTGCTAGGAGGCCTTTCTTTTGTATTCTTTCCACAAAGGTCCAGAACAAACACATGCACAGTAGAGGATCCAGTCATCCACACAAGGAAAAGGGTCTGTCTCCAAGATTTTTATATGGCCCTATCTGCCTTACCTCCCAACTTTCATCAGTTTACTTCCAGTACTGTAAAAATTTTCACAATCACACACAAGGTTTAAAGGTCTGAAATGATGAGAAACAGAACTGGTTATACAGATCAATGCAGATTTTCAATAAAAAGAATGAGCAGATAACTGGTAGATATGATAGAATAAATTGCAGGTGAATAGAGAACAGACAATGCAAGGAACCCAAAGGAGACCTGGTGGAAGAACAATCCCTTATTACCAAAACTTGAAAAAGGAAAAAAATGAAACAAAGTTTGTGAAAAATAAAATAGTAACTGACTGGAAAGATTAGATAAAAGTATTCTTCAACAATGCAAGGGGGAAAAACAACATAAGATGATAAATAAACACAAAGAAGTCTGGATTAGAACACAAAATACCAACAAAACAGATTTGAAAGGAGAGAAGGAAGGATTTCCTTTCAAAAATTGCAGAAAAGTTCTCTGGTGAAAGTGATAGTGTGAACGTAGCATAGAATATGTCTGTAAATCAGAAGGCAATGGCAATGCGATGGGAACTTGAAAGGTGGTATCAGACTCCTTTATTTAACTGCATAATTATGATCAATATCAGTGGCATGCATAATAATATTTCATGGAAGATATAATGCCCCAAACAAATGGATAATCTGGCAAAGGGTAGAGCTGAAAAAGTCTGATAGACATGGAATAGCACTGTTCATTCTAGGAATATATATTCATATTTCTCTGTTGTGGAAATTCCATGGGGTTTCATTTTTGCTTTGATAATACCCAAGGATATTAATACAAAAATATTTAGGCCATCTGCTTCTATAATAACAAGGCCTCCCTAATTGGAACCTGACCTATTGAATTCTGGGCAATCTTTCTGGGTCAGAGCAGACTTAGAGTTCCATGTGTTCCTAACCCATTACATATTTGAGCAGCAATGACCACTAAATCATCAAAACTTTAGTTAAATACCATACATATGTGACAATATACATCACCAGAGTACCTCATTCAAGGGCATAATTGTGGCAAATCAGTTTTTACTGGGATAATCAATAGTATTTCCTACAAAAAGTAAGACCTAAAGGCATCCTATATAACATCCCATAAAAGGAGAGGAACTGAGAGAACTGAAATGTGTGGTTCCTCCAAGAACTATGCATTCACATTGCTGGGCCATGAAAACCCCGTGGTATTCCTGTGGACACTTTTGCTTTAATAACACCTAGGGATATCACGAAGAACATAATATTTTAGGGTATATGCTTCCACAGCACCAGGGCCTCCTCATTAGAACCAGATCCAGTGAACCCTGAATCATCTTTCTGAATCTGAGCAGACTGAGGGTCAATGTTCAGTATTGTCCATGTGGTATCCCAATCCATTACAGGGTGGAGCAGAAATGACCCCAAAGTCATCAAAACTTTAGCTAAATACCATACACATAGGGACATGAACATCATAATTGATGGAGTGTGGACTATAATACTACTCAGATACATTGACCATCTCCATTTTTGATGCTAGGTTCACTGCTGATACAAATGTATACAGGTGTGCACTACAACTGCCCCCTACTCACAACACAATATAAAGACACACTCACATTCTTACCAACTAGACTGAATTCAAATAATGATGAAATTTCAGTTGGATTATCTGTGCTGAATGATCAACAAGTTTCCTTCAACGCTTGCCCAGGTCACATATTGTACCTTTTAGAAAGGAGGCACTGACAACCTCCTTCCCATCTATCCTGCTGGGCTGAGGTCCCAAAGAGAAAGCAGGGATGCAAGACATCCTAATGTGTCAGCTGTGAGGTCACCCATCATGGAGCTCAAAGGCACCACTGTTCTGCTCCTCCTTAAAAAGGGAGCTGCCTGACTTCCCCCAGCACAGACTTAGGAGCAACTTCAGAGCCTCCTCCAAGATGCTGGTAGTCCTGCTCACACTGGCCTTGCTGGCCCTGAACCCAGCTCCAAGCTCCAGTGAAGGTATAAGGGAATGCTGCTACTGCTACTAGTGGAGGCTGGGAGCTTGGGTTTGATTCTGGTTGGGGCCTAGGAGACCATGCTGGAGACGGGAGGGGGCATGGAGAAGGGATGGGGAAGATGAGAAGAAACATTGGAGTGCAGAATTCTTACAACAGGAGTAAGACCAGTTATGTCCTCATTCCACATTAAAGCTTTGGATTTTACTTAAAATACAAGGGAATGCCATAAACATTTTTGACTAGAGGAATGGTAAAGTAAATGTTTAACTTGCAGAAAAAAATCTGTGCTATAAGAATGGAACTGCATATGGCAAGATTGAATGTGGTGGTCAGGTTTTGAAGACCATATATCATAATTAAAGTAGAAGTGGGTACCTGCAGCCTTACTGTTGTGGGTGTGGGCAGAGAGAGGAGATAAGCACACATATCTTCAGAGCTGAAGAATCAGACAACAATTTGACTCTCTCCCAATAAACATAAATATCAGGCAGGGCCCAATTTTTGCATTTTACTCTTACTCATAATCAATATTGCAATGTGCTGTAAGAAGTAGCAAATGTTTACTGCTGGTTCCTCTCTTGAGAAGGCACGTGAAGATAAGCAAAGATTTTTGAACAAAGCGATCAAAGAATAACAAAATGTGACACTAAAATACCCACAATACTTAATAAATATTAGCAGCAATGTTGAGAGATTCTAGGAAGAATAAAAATATAGTTGGTTTTTTTTTTTAATGTACATGAAATTCTTACGAGACAGCATAGCAGCCACTAGTCACTTACTGCTTCCTGCAGTGGAAACATCATCTCAGAGAGTGATTGGTGAGTTTATTTATAAGTTATAATGATTGTGGCTGGAAGTCACACTTCCCCACAGGACTCTTCGTGACCAAGTTTTCCCTTCCTTCTGCTCTACTTCCTTGAGGTCAGCTATAAAGACTTTTTCCCTACTGTCAGTTGAAGCCCAAATGACCCTCAATCACGCTTTTCTTATTATATTTCCTTAGGAATTATGCCATTATCCTAAGTCATATTATCCTCATTTTTCTTTTGGGGAATGACTGAATTCTAGTTCTCCCAAAGATAAAGGCAAACCCCCTGAACCTAGAACAAGAGTCTATGTACAGGACTGCCAACTTGGGTAACAGGGACCCCTGGCTAGGCTGCCTGTTCCTCCAGGCAGGAAATGATGGCTGGGAGATGATACATGATTGGGAAGGGTCCTAATTCTGACTTTTCCGTGGTGCTCAGAGTCACTTACCAGCTTCCTTCCTCCTTGATGTTCCTCTCAAGCATTGTATTGTTTGAAGATGAAATGCACGAATATAATTTTCTGTCTTTTTTCTCCACTCAGCTGAGTCCCTGTAGCTGAGCAAAAATTTGCTGCAGCCATTTAGAGGATCCAGTGGGCCATCACTTTGTCTTTCTCTTCTCTACCTTACAATGTTCCCATGTAGGTGAAGAGGCCTGAACAATTAGTCCACTGTGTCAGCACGGGGCTCAGATATCAAGACTTGAATTCATGGGCATCCCCTTATTATTGTGTCCAAAAACATAAATGGCAGCATACCTGACATTAACAATTCTTTCATTTTGTTTCTTTTCTGTCTCTGGACATATCCTAAACCTCATCTTTTGATATTGAACAACAAGTGATTGTTCCAGGAGCCAGATGTGAGATGACTCATATGATTAGTATACTGTTGAAGGGAGCTCGTCTTCATAAAGAGGGAAACAACATGTGGGAGGCTGGCAGTTATAAGATCCTCTTGGTAGAAAAATCTCTGTGATCAGTTCAGAGAGGGAAGTAGCAAGGAGAGGTTTCCACCACTAAGCTCTTGCATTCTTCTGCCATATCCATACAGGTTATGAGGTAGAAAAACAGAAAGAGCACCAGCAGCCTCAGGGAGCCCCTAATGGAGAATTCAGACCTCGACCCCCTGCTGGTAATAAAAACCATCAGGAAGATCCTCAGCAGGGACCACCCCAACAAGGAGGCCAGCAGCAGCAGCAGCAGCAGAAGCCAAATGGCCCCCCTAAACCTGGAAACCAGCAGGGACCACCACAACAAGGAGGCCAGCAGCAGCAGAAGCCAAATGGCCCCCCTAAACCTGGAAACCAGCAGGGACCACCCCAACAAGGAGGCCAGCAGCAGCAGAAGCCTAATGGCCCCCCTCAACCTGGAAACCAGCAGGGACCACCCCAACAAGGAGGCCAGCAGCCGCAGCAGCAGAAGCCAAATGGCCCCCTCAACCTGGAAACCAGCAGGGACCACCCCAACAAGGAGGCCAGCAGCAGCAGAAGCCTAATGGCCCCCCTCAACCTGGAAACCAGCAGGGACCACCCCAACAAGGAGGCCAGCAGCAGCAGCAGCAGAAGCCAAATGGCCCCCCTCAACCTGGAAACCAGCAGGGACCACCCCAACAAGGAGGCCAGCAGCAGCAGAAGCCTAATGGCCCCCCTCAACCTGGAAACCAGCAGGGACCACCCCAACAAGGAGGCCAGCAGCAGCAGCAGCAGAAGCCAAATGGCCCCCCTCAACCTGGAAACCAGCAGGGACCACCCCAACAAGGAGGCCAGCAGCAGCAGCAGCAGAAGCCAAATGGCCCCCCTCAACCTGGAAACCAGCAGGGACCACCCCAACAAGGAGGCCAGCAGCCGCAGCAGCAGAAGCCAAATGCCCCCCCTCGTCCTGGTAACCAGCAGGGACCACCCCAACAATGACTGCTCTAATCAAAAGGTAATCAGAAGCATGGTCCCCCATTTCACCCTGGGTTACCCTTGTCCCACCACCATCCTCCCCAGGGATAGATCAAAAAGCTCTCCACCAGGCTTATTACTTCACAATCAAACTTCAGTGACATCCAAGATGGTAGTTCATTCTCCAAAAAAGACCCTTGATCCTATCCTTACCAAGTTCAAGGTGCCAAAACATCTGATGGTAAATGGGGAAATTACAGGGTCATAGAGCCAATTTTTAAATATTCCTAAATATTCTGCAGTAGGATAGAAAGACAAGGTAATGCTCAGTTTCAGCACCACTGCCCTAAATTTTCCTTTTTCCAAATGGTTACCTGTCTTCTTGTTGGTTCCTTTAAGCAGAGCAGTGTTCTCCCTCTGGTCCTCTGCCTCTTTTCTCAGACTCAATGATTTCTCTTTTCTCAGTGAACCCTGATTTCTCTTGGCTCAGTTCTATCTCTCTGCACAGAATTCAGGTCCAGAACCCCTGCCAATCAGTATTCAAGTCTATGCTCCTCATTGTCTTCTAGCTTTCAAAATGCTCAGTGCCCAATTAATCTATGCTCATGTTAAAAAGCAGCCTAGCTGAAGAGAGGGTATGAAGCCAAATCTGAAAGGCATATTCTTTCTTCTTCCCCACATGCTTCACCAAAACTACAATCATAATTTATTTTTGACATCTTCTTGGAAACATTTATGGACAGAAAAGTACATCATCTTTATTTTTTCATAAAGAATTATACTAAAAAAAGTAAACTGAAGTGATGCCATAAGTTATAAGCAGATCTCTCCATTGCTCATTTCAGAGTATATTTCTTAGAAAAATTTTACCTTAGTTCATAAACATATACAGATAGCTCTTTTCTTCCTTTCTTTCTTCCCTACCTACATCTTTCCTTCTTTTCCTTTATTACTTTCTTGCTTCCTTCCTTTCCTATTTCTTTATCTTTTTTATGCAGTGTTATATTTTTCTTCCTCATTTATTGTTTTTACAATTGCACAGTATGCCATTTTTGTAATTTTTCAATAACTGCTTCAATCCAACCCTATGAGTATATGCCTACCTTGTTTCTGTATCACTATTATAGGTATACATTGTGAAGACAATCTTTGAAAATATAGCCTTGGTTATTTTCCATGGGAACCAAAAAATAAACAGCTTCATCTTTATTTCTTCAGATAACAAGCAAAAATTTTAAGCATATTACATTGTGGCTGCCTACTAAGAATGAATAATTAAATTAAGAAGAAAATAGGGGAAGGAGAAGGAGTTGGGCAACAGGAAGAGGAGGTGGGCTGTCACCTAGAATCACTTCAGTGATACCAACAGGAATTATAAATCTCTTACCTTATCAAGTGTCCTCTACAACCTTCTTTGTTTATTTGTTTCAGACACCACAACAGAAGATGATGTCCTTCACAGTGTTTGGCTTTGCAATAAGTAATCATAGCTGTATCTTCTATAACCCAATAAAATAATCAGCATACCATTTCTGACTTCTGTCTCTCTTTCTCGGGGCTGGACAGTATGAAATTTGGGGGCTATAGAGGCAATGTAAGAAAATCTAGGACCCCTTCCTATGGGTGCTTCCAACAAGCTTCCCACCTCCTTCAACCACAAGCCAGCTGTCAGGCAAAAGACTTCCACTTTCCCCTAACATCTCTGGATTCTATAGGACAAGTGTAATCTTTGAAATTATTTTTAAAGTATTTACTAGTCCTTGTAACTTTCGAAGAACAACAAATATGTAATAAATATGAGAAAAGTGTACATGCTGAAAAAGCCTTCAATTTTCTAAAAATATTTGAACCAGGTTTGGTGAGGGGACATGAATGAGAACGTAGGTTGCTTCTTCCTGGAACCCACCATTCTCTTTCTGCTACTTTATCATTGCTGAATTCTGAGCCTCCCTACGTCCCCCACCATTCTTTTATCAAATCCTCAGTAAATTTCATAAGAGGCGGCATGATGGACTTTAAGTTGGAAGTTAGGTGCAGTCCTTCAGACGTGATTTTAAAGTCTTTTCTCTTATGATCTTTGGACACCCGGTAACTTAATTATACTCAACATTAGGAATGATAAGAGGGACACAATTAGATTTTTCAGGAATTTCATACAATCTGAGATATTAATCACATTTATCTATGTGACTCAGCAGACATGAAACATTTCTCATTGCCTGTGAAAATGTAACATAGCCAATAACCCTAATTAGTTTACTATCTCTCTTATATAAAGAAAGTAATTTCTTTGAGGGTATTCCAAGATCCTCAGGAAGCTTGCAAACTTAGTGTGAGAGCAAAAATCTTTAATATGGCCTTTGATTTTGGAAAGTTGTCAAAAATGCCAAAAGCTAAGAACATTTCATTGAAAACAATTACAGCTTACTGTGAAGCAATACTAAAGTGACAAAATATTGTCAGGCAAATATATAATTTATGTAGTGGCCAAATGAAAACCAAGTTGTTTTAACACTGAGAAGGCTCACTTTTCTTTCGTGACTTCATAAAAGACAACATGAAGCATAAGAAAGCATTTTGAAGAAACACAAAAGTCTTTATTACCTATAGGGGTATTTCAAAGACAAAGAAAAACATCTACCTTTTAAGACCAATGTTAGAATAAGATTTTGTCATCTTAACAGAGATCATACTAGCTGTTATATTTGTAACTTTTTTATATTAAGAATCGCCATTAAAAATAAAATATAAATTAATGTATTCAATATTAGCTAGTTTACACAGATTGAATTATTTTTCAAGGTTCTTTTTCACAAATCTATAATTTTGTTTTATCTATTTAGATTTTGTCCTATATTTTTCCTCTTCTTCTTTGTGGAATGAGCAATAATTCTTAGGGTAAAAATGATCCTCATTTTTCCTTAAGAAGAACAAATCCTTCATACTTCAAAGATCCACATGACAAATACATGATTCACTTTTCTCACATGGTTGTTTTCCTTACATTTTTTATTTGTAATTTTCATATATTAATAGGACTTTTTGACTCTCAGTAACTTTAGCTGTGTGAAGCAAGTGCTTAGTCATAATACAGCTATTGGATTTAGCGTTGAGCAAGTTCATTAACACAGGAAAATGCCTTTCATGTTCTTTAATAATAAGAAGATACATTTGTATTCACAAATTGGTACTTTTTCGTATCCTCATATGAGATTTGAATGAGAACTGGAAATGTTCTAGTAGAAGACATATTATAAATATTATCATTGTACAAAAGTTCATTTAAACACGTTTATCTTTCACAAACCTATTTATATATTCTTAACAATTATGTTTGGATTACTCATGAATGTTCCATGACATTTGACACAGCTAACCATCATCTGCAGTTAACTCTGTGTACAGTGTTTGTCTATCAGGCAGTCATCATCCGAGTAAGACTCATAAAAATGTTAAATGCATGTTGATTCCTTGAGAATCAAGTTGCTGTTTTTACAGTTTTCCCTCAGCATAAACTTCCAGTTCATCATACTAAACATGTTAGTATTTTGGATGTGAAAGGACTTCTTTCAAATGTAAATTTTTTGTCCTTGCTTAAAGAAAAAGAAAGAAGCCCAAAGAGGGTCTTGATTGATTGATTGATTGATTGTAGTTTATGCTGGTATCACCCTCTGGGGTGACAAAAGTCTAGAGTCTTCTCCAGTAACACAGCACTAATATTCTGCTTTTAAGGAGAAATTACCAAGGCACATTCTCACCAATAGTTTTTGTTACTTATATTCTTGGTATTGATTTTTTTTTCAATTCCCCTCAAAGAGTTTCCATGCAAAAATGCGCAGGTGTGACTTCTTATTTTCTCACTGCTGTTTGATAGACATGAAGTAACAGAGCCTGCATTTCCTCTTGCATATCTATTCTTTGGTTGTGTGATATTAACATTCAGTATGGTTGTAAAGACCCAAAAAGAACAAAAATTATGGGTGCTCATATAATTCTGAAAGCAAATTAGTTACAAAAGAAGACATTTTTCTTAAATAAAAAAAAATTAAGCTAGTTTTATTTGCTGAAGACTTAAGTCACAGGAACTTGAAAAGCATTTCAGTTCATTTTTGTAAAATTCTTAGAGAATATTAAATTTACATAAAACTTATTTTATTTATGAGAATTAAGTAGATTTCTTTTATCTAGTCATTGGGCACTACCATCTATGCTTAAAAAATATTGCACATATAAAACATTTACTTGAACTTATATAAATGTACAGATGTTAACAGATCTTATTTTCATTTAGTGTTTTATAAAACTGTGTGACATGAATAAATATATCCCACTTTTTTCCTGCAGCATTTGAGATCCCTCATGTTTTCTTCCATTTATTACACACATGAATAATATTTTAGATTAAAACTTCTCTTTGGCCATGAGAGTCTTAAATTATTTTTCAGTAGTTCATCACTGTCTCTAAAAAAGTGCAGTTTGATGATAGAAGAGAAACAGTTACTGGGTTGAAATTAGCTCATTATTTACTTTCTACTGGAACTTGTCCTATCTGATAAAGGTCAGTCCATTTACTGTGAAGACTTCTGATGTGGGAGCCAGTGTAACTTTTGTACCAAGAATATAAGTAACAAAAACTATTGGTGAGAATGTGGGGGAAAAATACACTCATACAATCCAGTCGTGGGTGGGACTGCAAATTGATGCAACAACCCTGGAAAGCAGCATGGAGATTCCTCAGAAAACTTGGAATGGAACCACCATTTGGATTATTTATCCCACTCCTCAGCTTATACACAAAGGACTTAAAATCAACATACTACACTGACACAACCACATTAATGTTTATAGCAGCTCAATTCATAATAGCTAAGCTATGGAACCAGCCTAGGTGCCCTTCAACAGATGAAAGGATAAAGAAAATGTATTATATACATAATGGAATATTATCCCACATTAAAAATGAATATGATTTTTCTGGTAAAAGGATGGATCTGGAGACTATTATGCTAATTGAAATAAGCCAA